CTGTAATATCTCTATAGTAATAAGCTAATAAGTAACTGCAAGACTGTGGCGAAACTATTGCACAAGACCAAGACAATGATCAAGACTGAGTTTGAAAGACCAAGACTCGTCTCAGTCTCGCATTTGGGCAACACTAATCTCAATGTATAATTAAATGGTCTTAAATAACAGTTACTTCTTATTTAATTAGTCCGACAGGGCTTAAAACAAAACCCTATCAAAATTGTTTCAGCTAAATTAAATCTTTAATTATTACTTTCACTTACCTATATATGTAGTAAGGGTAAGTAGTGCGATCGTGAAAATGTTCGAATCTGAATTTTCAACGGAAATACCACAAAATGGTCTATCTCAAAAACGAAAAGTCGTAGGAAATTACGTATTAAAGATTTTTTATATGCCTGGGATGTTAGAACAACTTTTTCGTCAAAATCAGCAAACTGGTAGTGGCGTTTTATATCATTGATTTAACATATTTTTACGATTTACTAATGATTTTGATTAAATTCATTATATCAGTGTAAAGTATTTTTTAATATAATGTGGGTTTTATTTTCATATATGTTATCTAACAAGGCTTAAATGGCTAATTTTCAATAATTCTTCCTCTAAACCACCTTTAATTGATTTAATTTGAGAGAATTAACCATTTCACAATTAACTCTGATACAAAAAATTGTTATATATTTATACTCTGATATAAAATATGAAAGAATTTGATAATTAACTTAAGGAGAAATAAGAGATCATGACGAAGAATAGTTGTAATAAAGAAAAATTAGAACAGGCTTTATTACGTAAAATGAGCTAAATATAATACAGACTCCCGACAATATCATATACATAAACATGTGTGGTTTTCATTATTGCTATTGTTTGTATTATATAATATTAATTGTATAGATTACAATGATATAAAAATTAAAATTTGTATATGTACCGGCACTTAAACTAATAAAAATACCCACAATGAAATATAAATAAATACAGCGGCCTTCTTTATTAGTGGCACTCCTGTGGGATCGAAAATATTTCGTGGCACTTATTTTAGCTAAGATGATGGTGTGTGTGATGTGCGCACCGCATCAGATTTTTGTATTATAATATATAATTTATGATATAACTGACAGTCTTTCGTCGTAATTAGTAATAAATAGATGATTAAATAAGTAGTATGTAAGAATTTAATACTTTAATAACAAATTTTAGAAAATAAGAGTAATAATATAAATTAATGATATACCACCAGTAGAAAAGTAGATATTTTAGAATTAACATCTGACATAAAAATAAATATTATAAACTTATAAATAGATATTTACTTTTGTATTATTTATTGGAAACTAAATGTAATTTACATTGAAATTCAAATCGTTAAGTTTGACAAACCAAGTAAATAAATTTACGTTTATATTTGCTGTTAAAATTCATCAATTTATGTAATAATTATTTATATTATGTTTAAAAATGGCTTTTGCTGAGTTCTGGAGACTAAAACATATTATTCATGAAATAATCATATAAAAGTTTAAGTTAAATAAAACAATCAAGTTTTTTTTCATCGATCCAAAACTCAGTTCAACTCTTCAACTTTATTACTTATTCGTAAGTTCAACAACAAAGGGACGTGTTAGGCTCCGCGCAGTAAAAGTTTAAACCTTAAGTTGTTTCGCAACAGTTCATTCCCAAATTACCGTTCTCTGTGCCATATTTTTGTGGATTAATGCATGATAAAGTGAAAATGGAAAGCTACAGTTTTATTTTTACCGAAGCTTGCTGCCATGAAAAAGGTCCCACTATTTCTCGGCTTAAAGAAGCATTGATTATCTCAGGTAGACGTGGGATCTTTCTTCGACACGCGTCACTGATCTTGGATTGGATGGAACCCATCTTCACTTGCTTGAAAATCAACCCACAAGAACAAGTGTACAGGTGAAAAGCTGTACAGCTGTCATCTATAACATGGAATATTCCATTCACAATATTGTCGTCCGCATGCTCAATAAATTCAGATTACTTAAAGCCTTAGTAGCTAGAGTTTTGAGCAGTTTGTTTTATTTTTATTTTAAAAAATAAATAAATTGTAGCAAGTTATTTTTATTTATTTATTTTTTGAGGTGGGGACATTAACATCAGGAATACTTCTAGATAACTCATAGAAAAATAAAAATTCTTCTACCTTAAAAAAAAAATTCAGTGATGAACAGCGGATATAAGTTTTTAATTATATGTAACAATAGTACAATAACAATAATGTTTAAGAGAGAATTTTAAAATAATCTTGACGCTTGCCTGGATTTATTAACTCAAGACATTTTTAAATTATCAATATTATTTCTTTATTCTTTATATGTTTTTTAAATTTTTTTTTTTTTTTGTATTGGAGGGGGGGTATCAACCAGAAAGTCCCCCTTTCTTTAAATTCACTATTGGTAGCTAGAGCATTCGCCTGAAATCTACGCTATTCAAGGAATTTCTAGAGCATGAATTACTCAATAACTTATATAGATGTATTCCGAAAATTTTTGTATTTTTTCCTTAATCATCATTTCTTATTTATATTATTTTATTTTTAGAAATTTTTTAGGTTTTACTATTTAATTTTGAGCATTTAAGATGACACTCACCCTACTTTCGTAATATTATATATTTTATGATCCCATTTATATTATAATAAAATTTTAATTAATTTATTTACAGATTATCGAGTTAGCCTTTAAAAGTCAAACATAAATTTAATATTATTATATTAATTTATGAACAGAAAAAATTTGTTTCTCTTTGGTTATATGAATTTTTTTTTAAATTATAATTGTTATTTGCCGAATATTCAATTTGTGTTTAGTACGTAATTTTTTTTATGACTATCGATGAATGAATGAATATATATATATATATATATATATATATATATATATATATATATATATATATATATACATATATATATATTAAAAATAAAAATAATATCCCTAAATGTTATGTTCATAAAACCCGTATGTGTTTAATATACTGAAAGGTTCGTTTCTTGTGTAGACACATACCGTTTCCGCGTGCGTTCTATATGAAGGTCAAAAATCTTTATTTGGAATCAGTGACTGATAAAAGGCTTGGCGTGAATTTATATCTTCTAAATGTTAATTGTATATAAATTGGTTCGAAATAAGTTGTGTCTACTTTCGAAAATTGCGGAAATGTAATATTTCTTTACTAATCATATTTTTACACATATGGAATAAATAGTTAAATATATTATTTTCATTTTATTACTGATTTATTTTTAAAATTCCATCATATTCATCTATATGTTGCCTATTAAATTAGAAAATTTTATCTAATATCTATTTTTTTTTTATAATATAATTCATAAAAATAAAAAATAAATAGTGATCAATCTAAAGCATTGAAACAACTTCATTTCTTGTTATTATGCGTCGATTTTGCATGTTGCAGTTGCATATTTTTTCTTATTTACCTCATTAGAAGTTTTTTTCGCTATTTTTTTTATTAAAAATTCAAAAAAATAATTATTTATGTAGCAATTAGTTCGAGTTATTATTTATTTAATTTTTTTTCCTTGATAAAATCATATTTTAAAGTACTCATTAATTTTCATTTATTTTTAGGAATATTTTTCCTAACGTTAAAAGGGTGTCAAATAATATTTTTTTTTTACTTTCACTTATTAAATATACCGTAGTGGATGGTGATAATTATTGTAGATTTAATTTAGATTAGATTTGTAAAAAAAAAATAAATAAATCACTGACAATAAATCAACACATTCTAGTTTGTATTTTTAATTTTTTATAATACAAAATAGTATAATATATTAAAAATTCGTTTTTGAAATACGAAAAAAAAAATAGAATTTTAACATTGAAAATCACTTAATAAATTGAAAACGAATTAAGAAAACAATAATTTTACTTTGCTATATATATTTTTATAAACATACTTAAACTATTGCCTCTAGTTAAAAAAAAAAAGAACTAGTAAACGAACAATTTTGATAAGAATGGCCTGATGTTCATTATCGTTTTTCTGTGTCGTTATTAATCACTCATATTTACGCCATCAATATATTTAACTATAGAAAAACATAAAAGCTTATACTTCACGATGTTAAAATTATGAATCCGGGATTAATAAAACTTATTAATTAAATCATAAACATGTCAAGTTTTGTCAATAAATTATTTTATGTTTAAGTTCTTAAGTATTAAATATAGTAAATAATATCCATTTTTTCATCGTATATTTTATTATTTATAATTTCTGATTGGGGTTTCTGGATTATAATTCTTTAGAACATCCTATAGCAAAATTCATAAACAATAACATTATTTCAATATAATTTACGCTATTCTTATTTTAACTATTTGTTTAAAATAGATAATTAAGATATATACCTTTTCATTGTAAATTTCCAATTACTCTTAGAAGTCGACAAAATTTAAGTCATAAACAGCAGTTCAACAGTATTTTTTTTTTTTAATATCCATTTGAATCAATCAGATTTTCCCTTTTTTCCCTCAGAACGGACTTAATTTATATAAAATAATATGTAACTCGTTTTATGCCTGTTTTACTTACGTTGTTAAAAATATAGATAAAAAGGTGCTCAGATTCGGCTTTGATTGATAAAAATAGTTTCCCATTTTTTTCTTCTCCAACCTAAAAATTTCCCGAAAAGGAAACTTTTTCACCGTAGTGGAAACTCTGGTCGTAATACATTAAAAATCATAAGCACAATTTGAAATTAAAACTAGACCAGTCACATAATTAACTTCTTTTTTTTTGTACATTTGAAATAAGTTAAAAAATTGAAGATTTTTTTTTTTTTTTTTTTTTTTTTTTATGATATCTCTTCCTTGATTCCAAAAACCTCCACATACTGTGGATATAAGCTTTTTTTGGAATTAGGGGCGCGATTTGGTCCAAATATGAGATAAATGGTTTGTAAGTCTTGCTTATCTTGCTGGAACGGTCCTATATCATCATTTTTTAGGTGTTTTGTTGATTCTGTTTGTGCAATCTTGCTGAAGTTTGCCGTTGTTGGCGTTGTGGTGCGCTGGTGTGTTGTTGGCTGCAGACGGAGGGGGATGAGGAAGATGGTGCCGCTGTCCTTGCGGCGAAGGCCACCCAGCTGTCCGGAAGCCACAGCCGCAGCCTTCCGCCCTTGTATCACCCTTTAAACATCTTGCCGCTTTAAACATATACATTTATTAATATTGCCAACTCTAGAAAGCTCAATTATTTTATTACACGTATGGTTTATGGACTTAAGTTTATGGATGGGTTTATGGATGCAAGCTTGTCGATCTGAGTTTCGATTAATGAACCCGGATGCTCGTTGCCAGAGTCGTTCGAATAATCATTACCTTTCCCTGGACCCTCTAAAAATCCAGATCTGCAATGTAAGACATAACGCAATTATCGGGATATGTATATATATATTTCTGTTTTTCGGCCCTTTTAAAAATTAAAAACGTCCATAGATAAATATCGAGATATAGAAATTATTTTGGAAATAATTTTCCATATTCGATATTTTGATACTCGACATTTTTTAAATTTAAAAAAGGTCGAATAAAATACATATTTTAAAGGTTTAAAAAAAAAAAATCCATATTTTGGCTTTGACGTTTTAATTTTTAAAAGTGTAAAAAAAACATACTTCTATATTTTAATTTTTTTTAATAGGGTCGAAAAAATCAACATTTCGATATTTTAACTCTCGACATTTTTAAACGGGTCGAAAAAAATCCATATTTTGATATTTTGACCGTCGACATTTTTAAATCTTTAAAATGTTCGAAAAAATCCGATCCTCATTTTATTTTATTTTTTCAAACTATCCATATTTTGGCTTTGACGTTTGAATTTTTAAAAGGGTAACAAAAATCGATATTTAAATATTTTAATATTTTTAATAGGGTCGAAAAACACATCAATATTTAGATATTTTGGCTCTCGGCATTTTTAAAAGGGTCGGGAAATAAACCATATTTCGATATTTTGACCATCGACATTTTTAAATTTTAAAAAAGTTCGAATAAAATCTATATTTCGATATTTTGGCCCTTATTTTATTTTTTAAAGGTTCCAAAAAAAGTCGTATTTTGACTCTCAACATTTTTAAATATTTTGGCCCTCATTTTATTTTTTTAAATGGTCCAAAAAAAATCCATATGTTGGCTTTGACGTTTTAATTTCTAAAAGAGTAAAAAATTCGATATTTCAATATTTTTTAATTTTTCATAGAGTTGAAAAACATCAATATTTCGATATTTTGACCCTCAAAATTTTTAAAAGGGTTTACAAAAAAAGTCCATACTTCGATATTTTAACCCTGGACATTTGTAATTTTTTAAAAGAGTCAAAAAAAAAATGCCCATATTTTTGCCCACAATATTTTTTAGTTTTTTAGTTTGGGTCGTAAAAATATATAGTTTAATATTTATTTATTTTTAATCTTAGGGATTGTTATCTATTAATTCATGAAATGTTTTGACTGTATTAAATAAAAAAAACATCTAATAAATGTGAAGATAAAAACATGTAATGAATTGTCTTGTAGAGAAACTACCCATTGGTAGAACTCTAATAGTCATCTAAAATATCAAAATATTATATAGTTCAATAAAAAAACCTATTTCATATCTCGTCAACATATTCGATATTTTAACATTCGAAGTTTTTTAATTTTTTTAAAGGGTTAACAGTAAACCAAACAATTAAGTACTGAGTAACAGGTAGACCTTCTATTTTATTTTGCAATATAGAATGTTACCATTTAAACGGTTTCATGCCTTATTTATTTTACAGTCCTAGAAGCTTTCAGTGATAAATGTTTTTCTGTCCATTCACTTGAATGTAGTCTATATAGTCTATCAAATTTAGACATTTCTCATCAATTCCAAGTCGAACTCTGACTTCTGAATTGAGAAATGTCCTTCATCATAAAAAATCGTTTAAAGAACGACAATATATGATTTAAAAAATACTTTTATAGACAATATCTTAGCGAGCGAGTAGAAAAACAGATCTGTACGGTGCAAAGTAATGAACGTTCCTAGAACTGTAAAATGAATAAAATATGAGACTGTTTAAAGGATAACATTCTGCATTGCACAAATAATTATATCTATATCTATATATATATATATATATATATATATATATATATATATTGGTTATCATCACACACGAAAAAAGGCATAATTTTATTAATATATGTCAAATTTTTTTAAAACTTTTTTTATTGAGAAATATCACAATCTGTCTCAGTTAAGGGCACTTATAATATAGATATGCCAATTAAAAAAGAAAAACTTATTACTAGAAACTAGACAAAAAGTAATTAAATTGTTTAAGTCTACAAAAATTAAAAAAAATATATGAGAAAAATAGATATTGTATCAATTAATAAAAACTTTTAAAATTATTAAAATTTATTTTTAAAAATGTTTATTACCTAAAAAGACAGAAATATGAATTAATTTTTTAATATATAAAAGGGAAGCAGAAAATAAATATTAAATCAATAATGACTAAAACCTATCAAATCTATTAACACTTACGTTATAAACAAAAATATAACCAATAATTAGTAGGTATTGTGTCTATAAATTCTATCATTTTATTATTCTCAACGGTAAAGCGACTATCCTTGTTAATATTTTGTATTTTTTATTAATTATTATCGTTAGTTGTGTTTATTATTTTTTTTTTTTAGTATCAGATTCATATCAGGTGAAATCGTCTCGCATTTTCAGTCGACTCACCATTGCTGCCTCATATTCAACGCGATAATTAGTTTTCAAGAATTTATATAATTGTGGTTTTTCCCTTATCGTCATGTGTCACGTTTCTCCTCCATAAAATATTGTGTGATAGTCTAGTGAATTCTTGCCTCCATTTTTCTAAACATTTAGAAACATACCTATTAATTTTGAGACGTAATCAGTATTTTCTTCCCTAAATATTGCTATTATTTGCTTTTAATTTTGCTAAGATATGCCATAATATTTTTTTAAATATGATAACGATAAAATTAATAAAATAATGAGAAGCATTGGTGTCAAATTTTTAAGTATCTGATCACTTTATTGAATTTTTGTTTATATAGTTGTATTATATATATATATAGGTATATATCGTGTTAAAGCGGTCATTTCAATATCACGAGAGATGAAAAAAAAAAAAAAAAGACGTTACTTAACATAATCAACCTAGACCAACTAAAATGATAATGGTGCAACCTTTTATCTCTTGCACGTAATATGTAAGTTGAACGCATTTAGTTGATTTTTTTTTTTTTTTTATCAACTAATATTTACTCTTTCTATAAACTCAGTTCCACAAGGCCTTCCCCTTTTAAGAGGCGTTGGTATAAAACTTCCCTGTTCATCAAATCCTACTGACAATTCTACTAAATAATATAAATAACAATCATGACTTAATAAATAAATGTAAATTGTACATCAAGATACTTCTACTTTATACCTCTTTCTCATTTTATTCTCTTTTTAAAAAAAAAATATATCAACACGAAGTTCTCTTTTTTTTTTATTTATGATATATACAACTTTATTAATATATGTGATATATATATATATATATATATATATATATATATATATATTATATACATCAAATAAATGTGAAAACAGAAATATAATCACATGAAAACGCTTGTTGAGAAACTATCCACTGGTTGCACTCTAGAAGCTAAATATAAATTAGCTTATTATTAAATAAATGTCATATTAATATCACACAATACCCCGAATAACGCATTTAAACTTATACGAAAGCCGTTATATTTTTGTTTATACTGCTTCCTTATCTATAGCGTTGCCCAAAATCTGTCTTGGTCTTGCACTTAGCATGACCAAGAACGCCCGACTGTTGCAATCCCCTATCTGAAAAATTACAGTAATATCCCTATAGTAATAATCTAATAGGTAACTAACTGCAAGACCGTTGCGAGACTCTTGCGCATGACCCAGACTGAGTGCGCAAGACCAATACTCGTCTTGGTCTCGCATTTGGGCAACACTACTTATTTATTACTTCCCCGATTGGAACCTGTTAACTACTTATATTTATACAAATTTCAAAGGTTAGCATTATCGATATTTACATCCCTACCATAACCCTTACGGCGCAGCCAGCTCAAAAATATTCCCATCAGGGAGGGGAGGGAGGCAATATTTATAATTTCATTTTTCTCGTTCAGAGATTTTTTTGATATTAGTCTCATTAAAAATATTAAAATTTTTATATTAAGGCATTTACTGTCAATCAACAGCGGATCCGGGATTTGATGTTGAGTCCGAAAGTTTTTTTATATACGATAGTTACTTGAAACTGTCTATATGCAGTGATGGATTCTTGAACCCAATTAAAAAAAAAGTTGATTTCAATATTTTTAGTCAGTGTATATGCATTATAAAAAAAAAATTAAAAATTGTATTGACCTCCGATCAATCACAATAACAAATATTAAAAAATTAATTATTTTTTTCTCGAGGGAAGGGCTTCAACCCAAAAGCTCTCCACATAGATCCGCCTGTGACGTCAGTTTTTCAGTAATTTGTTACTATTTTATCTTATATAAAATTAACGCGGGCAATCTCCCTCCCCTCTCTTAGTGCGGCTTCGCACATGTTCATTAATTTTTTACAATTTTCTCGACAGCTCAAACGATTTCGATTAAATTTACTAAATCAATGTGCAATCAAGTGGTCCCTAATATCAGCAAGGTCTTATCTTCATTGACATGGCCTGATAATAGGCCGCAACCTTAAGGTAGCCGTCATGGGTTGGCTAAAAGGACCACAAGGCCCATTTGTCGCAATAGTTTCTCTACCAGTACCAGTAGCCTAATAATAGTGGTTTTATTTACTAACTTTTAATTTTATATTACTTAATGGAAGCAAGTAAACTTTATATTACTTAAGGTGAAATTTACTATAATTCAAAATGGAACCTTAAAAAAATATATATTCTTAATGACAAAAATATACACAGACTTGTCCTACTTCATGATAATTTTAATAGGTTTACATTTATAATAATAAAAATATTCTTCAAGTTAATTAATTTATTTATAGTTAACTTTTACTGAATATTCTGTAGTAGTTTCTTATAATTAATTCTCAATTTGGAGTTTCCACGATTAATAAAAAGTAACTTAAATTTTCCCTTTGAAGGTTATTATATACCATATTATAT